CCAGCAGCACCCAATTAAACAGTAGCAAATAACCAATAGCAAACTCAGGAAAAACCAATTGAAACCCCAGAAATACCAACCAGCAACACCAATGAAACAGTAACAGTACTAGTTCTGATATTCAGCAGTAAAAGAAAAGACCTCACTTTTCGGTTTCTTAGCTCTCAAACACTGAACCTTTTAGGATTAAAAACTAGCCTGTTTTTTTCTCAAATTACTGAACTCTTAAATGTTAAAAATCCAGCCTAGACTCTCTGAAAATAACTGAAAGAAAACTGATTTTTCCTCTCCCAAAAAACAACCAGCCCCCTAAATCTGTCTTAAATGACTCTATTTATAACCCAAAAACAGGCCTGCTATCTCTACCTTGAAACCATCAGATTCTAACTGTCCATCCCTCTTTGAATCCCATTACTTAATGTCTTCTTGTTTGAAGTTATTTTGTTCCCCACACTTGCATGCCTTATTCCCTATTGTTTCAATCAAAACTATGGGTTATTATAGTATTCCTATTAACTCCCATACTATCATGTTATGTTCCCCATTGATATTAAACTAATAGTATCTATTATCCATTGAACAGTCACTTAAGTTAGTCCACTTGCAGACCTGTTAAATCCCAAAATTACCCCCTTGACCTTTGTGTATTACTGCCCTGCCCTAAGCTTCATTGATCTGTTATTAAAATTCTATAAGTTGTAACCCTAACAACTAATTTCTAATTGATCACTAAATTACTACAGCTATAAACCAATTCCCACTACCAAATTCACACAGTGATTCAAAGCAGAAGACCAGATCATTTCAAACATGGCATCAATCAAAGGGAATGAGCTGATCATATTGGGAACCAATCCTGATCAACTCAGACCCAGTGATTGAGCAGGGATTCAATAATACAAGCCAAAATTGAAGCAGTATGAATCAAGGCAGGAAGTTCATGCGAACAACTATAAAGAACAGGAGGTCAAACCAAATACAGGGAATGGGCACACACAACTCCAATTCAAGTATACACAAGATGCAGGATGGTAAACATACTGGTATGAACCAAAGGTTGAACTATTATCATGTTAACATAACATTTAAGCCTAAAAGACTAATCGACGATGCTTATTCAATTGATTACACAAGCTATAACATTTAGCATTTAACAACAAACAATCGGAATAAACAAACCAACAAGTGATTCGAGTGGTATTGACAAAACAGGGAACTTATAAACTAACAAATTATATGGCTAAATACATACATTCGACCATGCACAGAAGCAGACTCGACCAAATAAAAAGGTCTGATTGGAGAAGAAGAAGAAGCAATGGACAAAAACTGGATTATAACTAAACAAAACACAATTAACCGTAACAAAAATAGAACAAGAAAGAAAGGAGAAAAGAAAATACCTTTACAAAACAGAAACTAGACGAACCCCAGGTCGAACTCTTGACTCGAACTTTTTGAGGTCGAACGGACCTTAAATCGAGTGTTCTCATCGGAGAACACTTCGACTAAGGTCGATTAGACGCCCAAATTCCTTTAATTTCGGACAAAACCCAGGTTTGGTCTTTATAGGGGTCTTGGTTCCATTTGGGGTTCGAATGGTTCTAGCAAGATTTGAACCAGGCCAAAGGTATCTTGGGCACGAGGGAGGTCAAGGGGTGCCGTGGTGGGATTTTGGGACTAGTTGGGGTAGATTTAGGTTTTGCTTGAATCTTCGATTGAAGATTCGAGAAGCTAGAGGTTGATACGAGGCAAACGGTTAACGGATTTGTAACGAGGGTGGTCAGATTGCTTAGGGGTGTTAATTTGGGATNCTAAAAATATTAACTCTTAATAATAACTATCACACGAAATTAAACATCAATAAAGATAAAATCAAACAATTCGGACATTAAATGCAAAAAAAAAAATGCAAAGTACATATTTTTGTGATTTTTCCATTTTGTAAAACAAACTTGATTGTTTAATTAATTCCTAAATTGTAAAATTAAATCCTAAATGCACATGCAACACATATTTTTGTATTTTTCTTAATTAAAGTAGAAATAAACATGCACAGACAAAATACAAATAAATCACAAACAACACAAAACCATTTTATTTTGAATTTTTGGGAGTAGCTCTCATAGGGCAAAAATCACGTGCTCACACTGGCTACTAGTGTGAAAACACCATAACGCAAGAGTCTAGGGGAGTAAAGGTGAATCAAATGAGGGAAAGTAAAGGGAACACCGACGGTGTTGGTCAAATACCTCAAACATGCAATAACCCTCCATATGATTGGGCCAATTTGACCCAAACAAACATCGAATAAACGACAGAACTCAAGAATAACAGGGTCAATAGATGGTCTAAACCCTAAGGTGAAAGGGTATGTATAAACAAAAGAAAACCCGGTTATGTAAGAGGTGATTCTTTGATTTGAACTAGGGATAATAATAGGAAAATCACTACTCTAATGACAGTCTCTACGAACTACAGAAATCAAACCTTCTGTAATTTGAGTGGGATAAATATCAGCACGATCTAAACCAGAGACTTGGTTCCTAAGAGATTCTCTGTCATGATAAAAAGATAGTTCCATAGGAATTATCTCCTCTACTGTAGGCTCACGAAGAGGTTCAAAAGGTTCTTTACCTCTTGAAGAAGATCTTTGTGAAAGTGAACCCCTAGTTCTAGAAGAAGGGCCAGAACTAGGTAAAGGAGTGGAAGAACCGCGAACAGATCCTAAATTACGAAGCCTGCCTCCCCTTCTGCTTCTAATGGGGGCATTCGGGAAGATATCAAATATGGGAACCCTTCTAGGGTTAGAATTTGAAGAAGACATGATGAAGAAGGATGATACGATGAAGAAGCAAACAGGGATTTGACAGATTGAATATTCAGTAAACTTTATGTGGAAAAGACAAAGAAAGAAGTTATATTTATACTGATAAGCGACCGCCAAAGGAAAAAGTGTAATGATGGAAGTACCATAATAATGATAACTGACGCTTCGTGAATAGTGGAGCTATGAAAAAGCCTTTAAATGGGCAGCAAAATTGCAGAACTAATAAAAAGGTGACACGTGAGAAGAGCATTAAATAGAAGTGACAATTGAAGCGTAAATTTTGTCATAGCATTAATGGTGACAAAAATTCTCGTTTTAATGAAATCCACTTCCCAAATATTCAATTGACGAATAAATGGCATGTGGGGGGACTATCTGTATTGGGAAAAATTGGGTTTACATATTAAAGTGGAATAAAGATGACGTGTCAAGATACGTAGACTAGTCAAAGAGTTACAGCTGGCAAAGAGACACGAGTTGCAACAGATACGAGCAAAGGCAAAGGAAGAGGCACGGACAGATATTTAAAGGACTCGGCGCCCGTACCTATTTAAGTCATTTAGGTCCAGGAATCAAGGGGAATGAATCTGACAATATATGAGAATACAGATACAGTATTTAGTGAGCATTAAATACTGAATACGTTAGAAAATTTGTATTAAATACAATGATTGTGTAACGTAGCATTCAATATCTTTAATTACTCATAATAGCCTTATTATGACAAGAGCAAAACGCATATCTCCCAAATAGCTATAAAAGGGAGATAACTGATCAATTGCAAGGACACGAAAGACTATTTGAATATATCGATTTACTTGTTTTTCTTCTGATTATATTATTGCTAGCCAAATTACTTTCTTTCATATATTCTTTTGATTATCAGTAACCCGAGTTCTTCTAAATTAAAGCTTTGACCGAAATCCCATTTTTTAGTTAAACACATACACAATTCTTCATTGCATCATTTTGGAAAAGGAACTACGTAATTGATGAAGCTTTCATAAATTCCCTTGTATATAAGTACTATAAAACCAATGGGTCATAGAAGAATGAGAAACAGAAGTAATTATAGTTTCTAAATAAGTTACACACTTATACTGTGGCTCTCTCATCTCTGACAATAAATATAAAAAAATTATATGGAATAAGTTTGAGCAACACCCAACTATAAGGATTCGTAAGGTTGGAAGTTCCTAAACATGATGGCTTTCAACTGGTTACCAAAGAGGAAAAAACTTGTTTAAAGTGCTGGAAAACAAAGAATAATTTTCTCCCTCTACTTCATTTACAGCCAATCTGTATAATAAGTCCAAAAAAAATTTAAGCAATCGAATTCAAATTTTAAATATCACCTTTATTTTGTTGTGAGGCGTCTGTTTTCCGCATGCTTCACAAAGTTATTTATTAAAGTCTAAACATTTTTTTCGTAAATTACACATATCTCTACAGCATAACACGAAATATCAAGTACAACAGTTTAGAATTATGACTAAGCATATAATATTAGAATTAAAAAGTAACAACAGCAGGAACAAAACGACAATACTTTTAAGAGGAATAAAGCTATTAGCACAACAAATGCCGAATACTTTACAGAGAAACATACAATGAATACTACAGGGAGAAACATGATAATATACATGTATTTTTTACCATGTTAGCTTAGGAATTGTTGTATATTACCCTTCTAAATAAGGGTATTCTTATTTCTTACACTTATATACAGCTTTATAAATACAATGACAATCCCAAAATATTACTATGAGACATTATTATATCATGGTATCAGAAGCCTAAAGATCATACCCTAACCCTACCTAGCGCGGACCGTCACTGCAATTTACGGCTGAAGCATCTCTGCTTTCTCTGTTCCTTATGTCTTCTTTTTGCTATTCAAACCTTATTTTATTACTAATTCTTTCTACTGTTGCTTTGTAGATTTACTTATGTCTTATTTAACTTTCTTGTGTGCCCCACGTTTTTCCTTCATTGTTTCTTCACTTTTGACCTTTCTTCTTTAACCCATTAGATATAGAATTGTTCTTCACCTTTTCTTTTCCCCTCCAGTCAATTCTCATATTTTTTTTTTAAAAAAAAAGGGAAGCCCTTCTCTCGTTATTTAGTTCTTTCAATCTCGTTTCTTGCTACATATTCTTTTGTTATTAATATGGCTCGGACTGCTTTTTCTGTGCATATTAAGGATCTTGTTCCTAAAGTTTTACATCAAACTAATTATCTTAAATGGGTACATCTCATTCAACCTGTTATTGAGATATATGATTTGTTTGGACATATTGATGGTTTTGAATCACCTCCTCCTGAATTTAATGTTTCTTTTGATGGTACTTCCAAGTCAGTTAACTCTGCCTTTATTACGTGGAGAAAGCAAGACCGTCTTCTTCTTAATGGGATTCAGGCAACAATTCACAGTGACCTTATTCCTCTATTATATCATTGTTCTACAGTTGCAGATGTTTGGACAACATTAAAAATCACTTTCTACATCCATCCACAACGAGAGAAATGCAGTACAAGCATCAATTACATACTATTAAAAGGGGAGATCTATGCTTATATGTCTAAGATTCAGGAATTGGCTGATTGCCTCTATTCTATTGGTTGTAGTGTTAATGACTCTGAGTTGGTTCGATGTGCTTTGAATGGGCTTTCGTTGTCTTATGACTTTTTTGTGATCATGGCCTCGCACATGCGTCCTGCTCCTCGATTTTCTGAGTTGTGGACAATGCTTCTTACTCATGAGGCTCGTACTTTGTCTTCTCATAATCTAGTATCACCTACTACGGCGTTGGTTGCTACAGTAGCTGATCCTCTTTCCTCAGCTTCTTCTGGATATCGTGGACATGGTTATGGTCGTGGCCGCGGTCGTGGAGGTGGCCGTGGTCGTGGCCGACGTCGTGCTCAAGATTATTGTCGTGGCAATATTTCACAATTTCAGTATAGCCCGTCACCTTTCCCAGTTTCTCATGGAGGTCCTTTCCAGCATTCTACCTCTGGTTGTGGTGTCTTGGCTCCCTCACCTTATCACTTGCCTGCATTTGTGGCTCCTACTCCCACTTCTACTACTATGATTTGCCAGATTAGTGATCTTTCTAATCATACGACACTTGCTTGTCCTCAGCGCCATAACCATGCTTATATTGCTCCTAGTTTTCAGGCGAATATGGCAGCACTCTCATTGCAGTCTCCTCCAGACAAAAATTGGTACTTGGATTTTGTTGCAACCACACACATGACTAATGATTTGAGTAATCTCTCTTCCTTTTCTCCTGTTTCAAACGATTCCATCTTGGTTGGTAATGGTACTTGTATTCTTGTTAACGGTGTTGGTTCTTCTTCTCTTTCTACTCTTTCTTGCTCCTTTACTTTGTCCCCTGTTTTATATGTTCCGCATTTTTGCAAGAATTTATTGTTTGTTCATCAATTTACCAAAGATAATAATTGTGGTATTAACTTTCTTCCTTGGGGTTTTGATGTTAAGGATTTGGCGACGGGGAAAGTTTTGCATCACTCCCTCACTGATGGGACTCTCCATCCTTTTCAGTCTTCCTCTACATTGTCATCGTTTGCTCAGCCATCAACCTTTGCTGCTCTACATGACTCTAGCTCTATTTGGCATGTGCGTTTGGGGCATCCAAGTCATGTTGTCTTAGATTTACTTAGATCTAGAAAGTTAATTTCATTGTCTAGGCCTTTTTCAAATTCTTTTTTTTTTTGTAATTCTTGTTTAAGCTCTAAACATTCGGCTTTGCCATTTTCTTACTTCAACTACTTTTTATGTTTTAGAGTTAATTCATTTTGATTTTTGGCAGTCCCCTGTGCCCTCAGTTAATGGTTATCATTATTATGTTCTTTTTATTGATGATTTCACTCGTTACACATGGATTTATCCTCTTCGTCATAAAAGTGATATCATATCTTGTTTTACCCATTTTAAACTTCTTGTTGAAAATCAATTTGGTGGGTCTATTAAGACATTTCGTTCAAATGGTGGGGGCGAGTATCAAAGTTCTTCCTTTATCTCTTTTCTCTGCTTGCATGGTATTCATCATCAATTATCTTGTCCTCACACTCCTGAGCAAAATGGTGTAGCTGCGCGTAAGCACCGTCATATCACACATGTTGCTCGCACTATACTTTTTCATGCTCATGCCCCTCTTTCTTTATGGGTTGAAGCTTTTCTTACTGTTGTTCATCTTATTAATCGTCTTCCTTCCTCTTCCCTAGCTAAGCTCTCTCGCTATGAGAACCTATTTGGGGTTCCACGTGACTATACCATTTAAAACCTTTTGGGTGTCTTTGTTATCCTAATTTGCCTCCTTATCGTTCTCACAAACTTGACTCTCCTTCTTCTCCTTGCGTGTTTTTAGGGTACAGTTCTCGTCACAAGGGATATCGATGTCTATGTCTTGATACTAACCGTGTCTATATTAGTCTCTCTGTTCGCTTTATTGAGCATTGTTTTCCATATGCAAATTTATCTGCTTTTCTACCTCCTCATCCTTCTGCTTTTCTACCTCCTCATCCTTCTGTGCCCCGTGTTATCCTCCCTATGCCTACTGTGTTACCTAGTCCTACGCCTACTGCACCCGAGTCTACTAGTTTTGCCACTAATTTCGTGTCCCCCTCTTCTTCTGTTGAATCTCCTAGTTTATCTTCCCTTCCTCCTAGCTCCTTAGACTCCTCTTCCTTGCCGTTGTCTAGTACTGATTCATGTCCTATATCCACCTCCACTAATACGGAGAAACACACAGCATAAAAAACTATTGATAGTCGAACAATGTGAAAAGAAAATGTAGAAATTACCTCTTACAGTCATAGGTATCGCTCTTTTCCCCCTAGAGTACCTGTACTTCAAAAATTAGTCACTCAAAATTGCGCAGCCATATATTCCAAGTAAATAATTCACAAACTGCAGAATAAATCTTTGAGGAAAGAACAACTTGAATTCGTAAGTCTTGCTATGAAAAATCAAATTGTGCCCAACCTAACTCACAAGTCACAACCAAGAAATAATAATCTAGAGTTATCTTGTTTTATGTCACGCCCATTATAAACCTCGAACCACTAACAGTGTCAAACATTTGCGTCTCTAGAGTTGAGAATATGTCTACGCATGCGTTGTTCTTGCCTCTCTTACATCCGGAGGATGATATAAAATCAAATAGAAAGCTAAAATTCATTGAAGAGTTTTATCAAACACGTCAAGACCAAAGGATTGTACTCAAGAATTCAAAATAAAAAAGTAAACTTTAGTAGCAAAGGGACTGGCGAAGAACTTCAGCCAAGCCCCAAATGTCTTTTGTCAAGAAAATGCTACCGAACAAAGAGAATGTATGATGGGTTGCATGGTTAATTAAAAAAACAGAAATTTTTTTCTTAGTATTTCTGTATTTCCCTTTTTCTTATAATTAGAAAGTTTATATCTCAAACTGAAAGCCATAAGACTGAAAAACTATAAAAGTTCACTAACTCAGCTTATACTATTCTTATAACCACACCCTTTGGTGTTCAAATGACAATCATAAAGTTCAACTGTATAAAAAAAGCAGAAAATTGCAAAAAGAACCCCTAGTAGAATGAAAATAAACGAAAAGAATAAGAACTCACCAGAAAATAACCCAAGCTACTGGAAGAAGAAGAACGACTGGAATGGAGATGACCAGAGAAAGAAAATTAAGTTGATTTCACATTACTATTACTAATTAAAAAGCCCAAATGGCAAATAATGCAATTTGTATTTTGTAGCAAGGAGAACACGTGTATGTCATTCAAGGTTAAAGGCACACTCACAATTTACCCATAATGCAAAATATATTATCGATACTACCCTTAGTCGTATTTGTGAACTTCCACTTATTATATACTAGTGGGAATGGCCAGTGCTGAGCCCGGGCCCAAACTTGATAAAAATAGCAGCTTTTATTAATTTATAAAGAAAATAAATAACCTTTTATAGGGAGCAACTTGCATTATGATAAATTATGTACTGAAATATGTGAGTTGATTTGTTAAATATTATGGTCTCTGCGACGAAGTGCGTCGTGGTCACTTTAAATGATCCTTTGGATAGCAGTAAGTTTCGTTCGATTTAGTCTTAAAAACTTGGATATATAGTAGAGCGAAGAAAACAAATTCAAGCCAAAAAAAGAGGTCATATTTAATGCTAGTCTTTCAACCCACTATTTACATTAGTTACAGGACCAATATGTTTACCGGCTAACAAAAATATAAATGTACATGCCAGTAAGTCACACAAAGTGACCTGCGTTGTCCATATTTTCTGCAATATTAGAAACAAAAGGACGTCAGTAACGGCAGGTAGCAACGTATCTGGTAGCTTAAAAATATAGCGGTTGTTCTTTTCATTACCTGTCAAACACAAGCTAGCGACCTTCAAACACGTATGTACATAGCATGAGAAAGCGTATATACAGCCATTTTACAAAGTTATAACACCCTGCGAACAAAACAGATGTAAGATCTATAATGATACCTTTTTTCGTCAACCAATTTTTTTTTTCCAGTAAACCACAATTTATATTGAAAAACATGTTGCATAATCTTAGTCAGTTATACCAATACAAGGGAAATAAAAGTGCAAGGTAGAAAGTATAAATCAATTCAGACAAAAGAATGTCTTAAAAAACATGTACTGATAAAGTAGTACTACTTTATAAGTAATTTTTTATCAGGAATAAAAAGTGTAACAATAGTAAATTGAACAAAATAAGTCAGTCAATGCAGCAGTTATGCAATATATTATTATAGGAACTTAGGGAATTCTTTTGTAGGCATGAACACTGGAACTTTACTGATGTTTAATGAAAGGTAGTGCACTAGAATTTTAGCTAACAATGGGTTGTCAACATTATCAACACAACTATTAATTTGTCTGTCTTTTCTTTTTGGATTGCCTGCGGGAAGGCGTTCTTTGAAGATGATGAATGTGAGTGAATTAGAGCTTATGAATGAATATAGAATGGAATGGAATATGCAGTAGTTTTTTTTTAATTTAAAGTTTTCTTTGAGTTGTTTGTGATTCAACTATAATCTACTACTCCTACATCAGAAATCAAAGAATTTATTCTTGAACATGAATAACAAGCTCGTAAAAGTTTATCATCTTTAGTATGGAAAAAAGTAATGAAAAAGTAGAGATAAAGTTTATTAACCTTCATTTTTTCTTCGGGGAGTCTCCAGTTCAGTTTGTTGCCTCTTGGTAGAAGAGCCACCTTCTGTAGTTAACTCGGTCTTCAGCTCTTCTATGGGTGTAACTTGTTCCACATTCAACTGACCGCTGCCTTCATTTTCTATCTGTTTCTTCAGCTCAATATTTTCCAATTTAGTGTTACTGCTCTCTCCAATTTCTTCAGAAGCTACTGGTGCGGGCAATTGAAACAAATCTTCCTTCACATAGTAGGACACAATGAACAACCGTGGATCAGAAGTTCTAGAAAATATTTTTCTCAATTGTATCTTGAAGAGTTTATAAGGAAGACGTTGTCGAACGTGTTCAAGAGGTAATGGTTGGTCATGCAGGAGAGAAAAAGATGAATTAACACATCAAGATAGTGCTCAAAAGTAATATACTCTGAATTAATTGGATGTTTTAAGCCTATAAAGTACTTGGGATGCAGACGCTAGAAGCTTTTATAGCCTTTAATTATCTTTTCATTAATGATGAATTTAAGAAGCCAATTGTAATATTTAAGCGACCTAAAGGAGATGTTTTAGTTTTCGACAGGCATGTGGAAATGGAGGTATAAGCACACATAATCAGTACTTTAGTAAGAAAATTGTTGACAACCTCTGTGCATTGGCAGTAACTAACATTGCTAAGCAGTATAAGCCAGATGATGAACTAACAAAGCAACATTGAATAGTCAAGTAATAACTTAGGGTTAACTAACATTTCACTTTATTGTTTCTGTTGAGCTTTTACTTTTTGATGTTCTTTTTACCTCTATGTATGGTTTTGCCTATCTGGAAAAGCTTATCCACTAGACCATTTAAGGTGGAGGTGAAACTACTTTAGTTGTAATTCTTCAATTGAAATACAAACAAAATATCAAATAATTTTCTTTAAAAAAAATTACTAACTTATTTAATTAGTGGTTATATTTTAATTAGTAGGTGGAAAAAAAGGAAGGATAAAACTTTTAGATGTTACAAAATGACAAAAGTTCTTGGGAGATAATACAATATATGATTCCTACAATGAACTTTTTTGATTGATGCGAGAAAAAGAAAATTTCACTCCACCAACTTATGGTTAGTGGTGAAAAGAAAAATTATGTTAAGTTCTGTTTGAATTACATTTATGTTCAGTTAAAAACATAATTGAAAAAATTAACAGCAAACTTGTTTTCACGATATCATAGTTTTAAAAAAGTTTCTCTGCTACCATCAACAATGTACCTTAACTGACATTTCACATATATCTGCGGCGGTCATATCAAAAAATTTCTCTCCTAATTCGCCTATTAATGTTGCAACAGCTGATCCACTGCCATCTGTTATTACAACTTCAAAGTGTGCTCTAATAGCAACAAAAAAGAAGAAGCACAATTAACATTAAGAACCCCACAAGAAAAATAATTGTTAGTAATAATTGACTTGCCTGGTTTCTTAGAAAAGAATGAAAATGCTCTCCATAAACCCAAAAGAATGAAGTTTTAGAAACATGAAACTGTTCAATTCTCCGTTTTTCTGTTCTGGAGAGTAACAAATCTTCAAGGGAATAAAGTTTCTTTAACATGAAAGAGTAAATCAACCATATTGAGTTTTACAGGCAGAAATATTCATAAACTAAATGTTTCATGATGTACTACCAAAGCTAGAATAATAAGAGAACATGATTTAAGCATCAAGTAAATTAATTCGTCGCTTTGATTTACGTTAGCAATTAATTTGCGTTATTTGATTTTCATAAAGCCAATGACTGAAGAAACCTTTTTTGTTTAAAGATGTAGAACAGACATATTTTATTAGGCTTGAATTCAAAGTCACAATACCTGGGTGTTAACATCGCATGCAGCTCGCACAATGAATAATTTTCGGCGAATGAGTTCTGTACTGTTGCCCGCAGTGGGAACACAATAATTCATAAAAATCTTGGTCATCAGCCGTCAATGATAATTTACCTTCCACGTAAAAGAGTTGTATCTGTGAAAGAGAGGGATTAAAGTAGATTTATTGAGTTGGGATAAAAATACTAAAGTACTCTATATGTACACCTATTAGCATGGATGAAATACACCTACATGAGGTTGTGACTGGATATCAGCAATTGGGACAGTATTATTGTATTCTGCCGCAAGCACAAGAGACGAATCTACTGCCTGCTGACTGTATCTCATCAGTCTTGATCGGTTGTCTCTGACCCTGTGCATGTATAAAGGCATTTCAATGGCAACAAAATGTCAGGTAGATTTAAAACGACACGAAAAGGTTGTGACAAAATTTAGAAGCGTAGGAAAAAGTAAGAATAGGTTGTTTCAGTGACAAATTATTACGCAGATTACACCAATAACACGAAAAATTAACAGAAAGTACCAAAAAAAAATTCTTTTAGCTGACACAATTATAATGCATATAACATATTTTTTTAGCTGGCCACAACTCCAACATATAATGCATATGTGGTATGTGTACATATAGTGTAGACACTTTATAAGAATACATATAAGAAACTCTGGTTATTAGCCTCAGTGATTGCAGCAGTTCCTGTTGAAAGAATAAGCAAATTTTGCACAAATTTAGTCAGCATTGAACAGCGATATCACCTTATTTGTGAGATTGTAAAGTAGCTATCCCCAATAACCAACGTGCTGCAGTGCTATTTTATAGCTGCTAAAAGGGATAACATTACATATTGGGAGCTCATAGAAGTACTGGTTGTTCTTAGCAATATTACATATACCATACCTAAATACTGACTGAATATAAAGGCAAACTCACACATATATCCATGTGTGATATTATATCGATGAGAAAATTTGCATATAAGCTCTAAGATTTTAAACTCATAAAGTTATATTGTAAAATGAGATGCAATATAGTTCAAAACCATTTCAATAAAAATACATAGATACCAAGTTTGTATAAACTTGTAATTAACTGAAACAGAAATTTCGAACTTATAGTCCGCTAAGTATGTCCCATTTTTTGGGGAAGAAGGAAAACATGGTAGTACAGAAGGGAATTGCATATGTTGGACTATTTAGTTTTACTTGCACATGTTTAATTTGCATGAACTAATTAACAAAATATAAAATTCGATTATATCAATATTTGTTCCATACCAATTTAGAAGTCTTCCAACTTGAGGATATGGTGGATTTATCAATATGACCGAGTTGTACCTTGTCGACAATGATAATCCTATATGACTCATTATGTTAGTAAAGAATTCACAATAGACCTCTTGGAATACCCAAAAAAAAGAGCGTAATGTTTTCCATACCAGCATAGGTGGTGCGCGTAATTCGTTTTGCTACAATTACTGGATATTCAGCAACCTCTGCAGCGAGGATGCTTCCATCAGCGTCGGCGAAGTCTTCCCACAGGGTAAGGATAGTAGACCTCATACTACAGTAAAAGGAATGGACAATAACTGACACTACCCAATAAAAAAATACAAGTCTAACAATGTCAGCAAGAGTAATAAAGATGAGGGTGTAAATATAAAAATAGCAGAGATAATTCGGTAAGACCGTAATTCAAACAATGCTACAAGAAGTAACATGTTCGCGCAGGAGAGTGAAGGTTGGCAAAAAGGATTTTTAAATGATGCATCTTGCGTGTCTAAGCAAACAAATGCAGCATAACCTATACGGTTTTCTCGATTTGGAATTAATGACTTCTGGATTATGTAGTTGTCACTGTATTTTCTAAAGTCTACGCAGCAAATACATCGGCAAAATATATATTTTAGGATCCAAAAAAGAGAACAAATAAATTACCTGATAGATTGCCGAGTATAAAGATTGAGAAGACAATTTTTCTGCCTATATAGGCACTTAAGAACTTATATAAATATTTTTCCAGATGTTAATATATTGCACTTTATGTTTCTTTGTTAAGGNTAAAGATTGAGAAGAGAATTTTTCTGCCTATATAGGCACTTAAGAACTTATATAAATATTTTTCCAGATGTTAACATATTGCACTTTATGTTTGTTTGTTAAGGTTTTTTTGTCAACCAAAAATATTTCTACAAAAAGTTGTAACTGACCTAGAAGAGGAAATAGGAGAGCATTTGAAGAAATGAGACACGTCTATCTAATATATTAGAGTTAGCTACACATTTAAATATTTTCCAATGGATAATCTTGTAAAATCGATAACAAACTTTCTTTACTCGTATTATATATGAATCATGTTTTAGCTACAAAAATGACACATACAGTAGAATATAAGGAGTTTTGATCTCCCACTGACTAATGAAGTCTTCTTCACTGTGATGTATCAGATGGTAGTAGTTAATGTTTACATTAAAAAGGCAGTAATGGACACATTAAAAAAATATTAATGATAGACACATTTCAGACTTCTTTGCATTTCTTCTCTCGTGAGCAGTATTGGATTTTATCTAGGCCAATATACAGAATAAAAATTTGTAGTAAAGCATGGTGATCACTAAAATGTTGTACTTCAAAATGTCAAGACAAAGAGAAAGCTGGATTATGTTTGAAATCCTATACAATTTCTTTTTGGAGATCACATTTAAATATTTTCCAATGGATAATCTTCTAAAATGAGTAACAAACTTTCTTAACTCGTATTATATATGAATCATGTTTTAGCTACAAAAATGACACGGATAGTAGAATATAAGGAGTTTTAATCTCCCATTGACTAATGAAGTCTTCTTCACTACGATATATCAAATGGTAGTAGTTAATGTTTACATTAAAAAAAGGCAGTAACAGACAAATTAAACAAAATAGTAATAGACACATTTCAGACTTCTTTGCATTTCTTTTCTCGTGAGTAGTACTGGATTTTACCTAGGCCAATATACAGAATAAAAATTTGTACTAAACCATGGTGATCACTAAAATGTTGTACTTCAAAATGTCATGACAAAGAGAAAGTTGGATTATGTCTGAAATTCTATACAATTTCTTTTTGGAGATCTTATGTGTTGTTCTATTTATAGAAAGATCAAATTTGTTGAACAAAGCAGTAACGCATATGGCATAGATCAAGTTGAAGGTGCAATAGATGAGTCTGGAGATATTGCTTCCTGCCAGCTTTAGTCGAAGAAGGTGACACCGATGAGGAGATGGCTGAGATTATAATCTCATGACATTATAACTTTTTAATTAAAGGTATCTGACAAAAGTAATCAACTAAATAAGACGACATCGTCATACAGTATCTGACTATATATTTGTAGCCAATTTTTTTTTTGGAAGAAAGTAATAAAGTAAATAGAATGCCAGCAGACTTACTTGGTATCCATTATGGTAATTTCACGACATTTGCTATTGTTAGCGCCAACATACTTTATCGAGCCGCAGTTCACCACAATGACAATTATGTCTGTGTAGTGGACATTGCAAGCGACTTATAATTTAGACCAATGTATACGGTCTCAGAATGTAAGGATACAAATAAATTTAATTGTCAGAAGGTATTACGCGTAAAATAATGGTTACCAAATTCAGTATTTCGCCGTTGCTCGTGCAAATATGCAAAGGGTACAGTATTCAACCTCATCGGAGGTGGGAACGGTGGGTCTTGTATGTTAGCATCTTTCACCTCTTCGACGATAGTAAATTTGTCAATAACCCATTCACAACGGTTTATAGGTACTCCGTAGGGTAAAGGAACTCTCACTTTTGCAGTAGATATCAAGTAAGTGGAAAACGGGGTGAAGTTGTCTGCATACTTTTCTATGTCTTCCCCGTATAGAACAACGACTACTTGCTCTTCCTGCATTTTAATAGAATGATGACTTACTCAACTACCCTTGCGGAAGTGTATCCATATAAACACATGGAGACATACAAATGCAACATATTGAAATATTAACATAGTAAAAAAGTACAGTATGAGCAGCCTGAAACTCATGAAAAACAATTGATAACTAATCTATACAAGATTTGCAATTTGTAGAGCATTACCAGAAAAGGAGCCCGAGGAAGAATATTACTCAGTCATAAACCATAGCTAAAATTATTTCATACCATTGACCTAAAGTCAGCATGACTCTTTGAAGTAAAGAATGTGTAGTTGACCTCCCGATTCTCAAATGTAGATCTCATCCACCAAAACTAAAGAGAATCCACAGTATTGCATCACAGAATCTGGAAATTAATTATATATTTTGAAAACGTTTAAATGAGAAAAAAATATGACTCGGGAATTTTCTTGTGACAGCCCCAAGAAATCTATATGTTTTAGCCACTTCTGTTATGAGGCCACTCTGAAGTTTCCACCACTTTTAGCTACTTTTCTTATGAGGCTACCATCTCGAGATTCCACCAACTGTTTTTTCCTTTTTACCTCTCAATTGGAATTTAGGGGCCAAGGGAAAACTAAATGCAAAGGATCTTGACAACATGAAAATGTGGACAACATTGTGGAAGAATAATAGCATAAACAAAGTTGTTATTGTAAAACCTTGTTACTGCTCGAAGCAACTTTGGATGAGATTAACGAAATTTCGTTGTTAGTGTCACCAATAGTCCAGTAATAATGGTATAGAAAGCAAGTTAACAATTTCGTATGGATGAAACCAAATAGACCTGTTACCAAGTGTGGTTTGTATTCCAGCGGCTACAAAGTAAAAAATTGTCTTGGTAAAAAGAAAAATTAAAATCATGTATACATTAGTTAACTGACAATTGGTATTACATGAGAAATGCATAGTGTAGCAGTCAAAAGGTTTACAGCAAGGTAGTAAATAAAATTAACTTCAAAGGATCACAAATTAGCAGGATGAATAATAAATTGAATACAATGTATGACTGCGAAAGAACATTAACGTATTAGTTACTCGTATTATTATTAGCCAACTACTTAAATGTTTCAAGGACAACAATATGATTTCAATAATATGTCAATTATGAAAGTGTAAGTTTACTATATTAGAGGAAACGTCTACATTTAATCCTTCAGCTTACTAAATAAAGGTATACCTAATCATTTAACACAAAGAAAACAATATGGTTTCAACAATCTGTAAGTTGTGGAAGGATAACTATGAAATGACACTCCTATAGTTGAAGACAAGGTCTAAACTGCTAATTTAATGAATGAAAATCGGTCGCGAAGAGTCTTTCAAATAAGAGGGCACTTTAAATTAAAAGGAAACATATTCCTATGTGTATGCGTAGGTATTTGCAACAAAATAAAGTCATATTCTTGACATAATAGTACCTAATATTTAATTTGTATTATATAAGTAATTTGTGAGCTGAAGTATTTCAATGAACTGTTTCTGGTATTATTAGCATTGTGGGGGATGTATTCAAAAAATAGACAATCTATCATATGTCTCGCAATTAGGAATGCTTCCATTTACTCTTTTGTTTGAAATAGTATATGTAATCTAATTTTAACGTGATTTTATGTTGTTTATTGTAATGCATAATTTGGATTTTAAAAAGGCTTCCTAAGATACAAATAGCAACTTCTTAGAATGTGACAGATCTCATATATCATATCTCGGAAGATAAATTTTAAGCTAAAAGTCATTAGAGGTATTTAATGACAAGCTTATCATCATATCTGACCACTACATGTTCACATCTAATGAAGCAGCAAACTGCAGTAATTTATGGATATCTGTTTTATTAGAGTGCAGCCTTGGAGAAAGAACATTGAATGAATGAAATTATTACCATCAAATTAGTCTATGCCTTCCGAATTCTTGTTCTTTAATTTCTTAAGATGTAAGAAGTTTAAGCAAATTTCTAACACGACGACTGCAAAGTGTATCGTAAATATATCCTTCTGGATAAATAAAGGACTATACATGAAGAAGTAAATAATCCAAAGAAGAAATTGCAAAGTTTGGTACCACAATTTTTGTCTGAAGAACCACATGTCAGACAGACATGAATGGTAAATGGAATATCTACTTTCATAGATTATCTCAAACATTTAGTTCCTCACATAGCCAGTATGAGAGAAATGATGACACTTGTGATTACCTAAGTTGATGGATCTCTTTATTTTCTTTCAATTAAACAATAGTAGCTATTGCAATTATATTTGAACCAGTAGAATAAGAAATAACATGGTAGTTAGAAGATTACTCTTTCGTCTTGGACAACAGCAATCTGGAATCGCGTCTTTCCATCTTTACTTTGCCTTGGCCGAGGCTTCTCAATGAGTTGTACCTTTGACGTCCACTCTTTTGTTTGTGGAGTGATCCTATAAATGGTTAATCTATGCTCCATGTATTATGCAGATTCTAAATTGGAAAAAAAGAAGAAGACATCATCAGTATATATCAAACGATAAAAAATAGGTACACACAAATAATAAAATGGATGAAATTTTATATTTAATAATTATATGCAATGATAATTAGCACACGAAGTTGGCATTGTTAGTTAAAAAGATTATTCATGGCTAATTGGCTTGTCCCTGTATACCTAATGACTCTATAGAACCTAAGAAATTGTTTTTTCTCATGTAAAGTTCAGGTGCAGTAAACTCTCAAGTTTTGTAAACATTTATATTTTATAAAATATAGAGGTACATCTGTTTAAAAATATCTCTGTCATCTTTTAGATTGTGAAAGAATTACATATAGGAACAGTTCTCCACCAGTGTATTAAGTGATGCCATCGACTGTCCAACTATTGCCCTTTATCTCCAGCAGTATGTACCAAATTTTCATGCAAAAATGCCTCTCCACGACCATCATAGCCAATGCCACAGCCTCGTATAGATTCATCTTTGTTGGAGAAGTCATGTGCGAAAAGAGCATTAGCTATCGTTTCATCGCTTGAGCGAATACAAGCTGATTGCTACCGATCGGATTGCACATCATCAGTATTCTTCGTGAGTTGTTTCCCTTTTTTTTGCTAGGATACTATCTGTTCTTGTCGCAATATGCTCATAAAGTAGCTTTTTCGATGATTTCTTTGTAAACAATGTTATCCGTGTAGTGATCGTCCTCGCTACCTGGTATAGTGGGTCGGATTAGCACTTTCACACAGTTCGAACTCTTTGCTCTGGAAAAAGCCACATAAAGTTGACCGTGCGAAAACACAGGTTCTCGCAAATAAACTCCAACAAAATCTAATGTCTGACCTTGCGCTTTATTTATAGTCATTGCAAAGCACAGTCTTACAGGAAATTGTGTCCTTTTAAATAGAATAGGCATTTTTTCATCTTGGGATGCTAATAATGGTATCCTAGGGACAAACACATGTGTATTTTTCAAGTGACCAACTGAAATATTGGCGCTAATGACATGCGATTTAAAATCACAGCAAGTCAAACGTGTTCCATTACATAAACCATCAGACGGATTTAAATTTCGTAATAATATAATTGGGCATTTTTGTTTCAATGTCAATTTGTAAGGAGGCAGACCAGGTGGATTTAAACTGTGCAATAGATCCTCAAATTGTGATTGATCATGAGGTTCAATAGTTTCATCAATACCAATAAAAGTTTTTGATTCTTCTGGGAAGCGAGCAACAAGCATGTCGTTGATGTCGTCGACGAAATCATTCTTAGTTGTTAAGATAACACGGGAAATTGTATAGGATGAGGAGGAAAAAAAATGTATGCACGTCTGGATAAGTTATCGCGAATAATTTATCCAAAGATTCCTTTTCTGTTGTATAAGGAATGATCAAAGAAGTTGCAATTTCAATCTTGTTTGCTGAGTTTACTTTTTCTTCTCCGTTTTCTATTCGCAACAAATAATTACAAAATGAAGGGTCATCTTTCGCTCTCATATTTTTGAATAACCGCAGCCTTTCAAGTTCTTCCCAAATATGAGAATATAGTAAACTTTCGTTAATGAAATCTTCCTTTTTTCCATTCCGAACTACTGGTAATGTCTGCCTGAAGTCACCTCCGAAAACTACAACTTTTCCACCGAATAGTATCGTTGAATCCATTAAGTCCTTTAAAAGTAAATCAAGCAGTTCGATCGTTCTTTTTTTCGCCATAGATACTTCATCCCATATAATTAATTTTGCATCCTGAATCAAACAGGCAAGTGAGCTTTGTTTGCTGATGTTGCAGGTCACATTTTCATCAGTATTTATAGGAATTTTAAAACGTGAATGTGCAGTTCGTCCACCAGGAAGTATAGATGCAGCTACGCCGGAAGTGGCAGTTGCCAATGCTATATACCTTTTAGATCGTACAGTTGCCAACAATGCACGATATAAAAAGGTTTTCCCTGTTCCTCCAGGTCTATCAATGAAGAATGCCCCAGCTTTGTTTGAAAAAATTCTCTCTATAATTATATTGTATGCTTTAAGCTGATCTTTATTCAACTTTTTGTGTAATAGTATATCCTCATTAGTAACCGCGATAGTCCTTTCGAAGTGTACCTCCTTTGCCTCTTTTGCCGCTACAGAAGGCCTTATTGTTTCAGGAATGAGTTGATATTCATTTATGTCACCACCCATAGAGTGTAATATATCGTTAATATGGTTTAAAACTCGGTATCGAATATCGTTTTTCTGAATATTGGGTACCAACTTATAATCCTCGGACATGTGCTCTTCAAATTGTTCCCAGAGTTGTCTTGGATTAGTAGGATTACAGTAAATCAGTAATATAGCAAATAAATGTCTCAAACTGTATGGCATTTGGTAACTTGCTACTTCCGACATGCATTCAAGCAAACTATTGTCGCTTTGTAGCAATCCCCGTTTTTCCACTGATTCTCTAAAGCTGCTACAACGTTCTCTATTAACAGTTAGCAAATCATTATATGATTTTGGTCCTCTAATAGTCATTAATAGCATTCTAAGATAATATCGTTCACCTTCTATTGGATGACATGTTACAACACGACCAATAGCATATCGGTGTTTCCGAGGTGTCCACATCCTCTCTGTTGCAGACCAAACAAAATGTTCAGGGAATTCCCGGTATAATAGATTGAGCTTCATAGCCTCTGCATTTGTTCTATTCATTTCGAAAAAATGTGTTAACATCGTTTGCTTAATCAACGGATTATTTACAAGTGTATCTACATTTGCGCTGCTTCTGAATGAAACAAATTGTTGTCCTTTAAGATGAAGTTGAAGAGAGCATGCAGTCGGTGACATTTCACTAATGGAGAAACCGTACAAGCGCCACATAGCTTCGGGAGGCGACACCCATGTAGCAGAATGGTATTCCTTTATTTCATCTACTTCTGTATTTGTATCATTATTATGTACTGAAAATGCAATCTTGTCATGACCTTTACATATATACTTATAGAGATACTTAACGACCTTAATATCAGAGCATATCTCGACATTCACATGGCAGTCAAATTTTCCTAGCAAAAAAGGATTATATGGAACAACCCATGAGTTATCCAAGTATTGTTCTCTTATTTTTACCACCAGTCCTGTATTGCGTCTTCTATAAATTGGGTAAGATTCTACTCCTTTTGATGTCCGGTCCGCAAAGCTTTTTGGATATTTGAATTTACAGTAGCCTTTTTTCTTCATACAAGAGTTTGTTGGGTTTAGATTACCGCATGGACCATGCATCATATGTTTAAGAACAAGCGAATATAAATCTGGTTCTGCATTTTCATCAGGTATTTCAGCACGAATAATATTATCGTAAGCCTCTGGGGTAAGTAACTTGTATTCATTAGTTAATATTATAAGAAAATGAACGTGTGGTAAACCTTGCTTTTGGAACTCTACAGTATACATAAAAGCTGCTACCTTTCCAAAGATATTTCGCTTTAGTATATCGTTTTTGAATTCTTCTATTTTCGCTCTAAATACACGGCTGATCAAATCAGGCCTATTATGTGCCTCATCAGTTGATATTAAATGTTCCTTTATTTCCATCCAAGAGGGATTACATGTCATAGTTATAAATAAATCAGGTTTACTGAAATGCTGCACGAGCGCAATAGCATCCATGTACCGTTGTCGCATATCCCGCGGCCCTCCAATAAAAGAGCTTGGAAGAAAATTTTGTTTCCCGATATTAGAAGCATCGCGTTCACCTAATCGCAAGATGTCAAGAAGTCCTTGTAGCATAGCCATCCTGAATAAATCTTGATTGAACACTGCGAAATCCAACCTTTGTGTTTCTAGTTTAACGTATTCATCAACTGAATACTGCTGAGATATTCTTCCGGTATGCAATATTTCATCTTCATCGTCATTTCTCATTTGTAATTCGTAACAATAATACTCACGAACAGAAACTGTATCTCTTCGTCGCTGCCCTTTTTTAAGAATTTCAACTTCCATTTCAAGATATCCGTCAAGTGACGTAACATTTCTTATACTTGGTACCTCTTCGTGATGCGCAATTCGTAAGTATGCAGGACAATTTGCTGGGAGCTTCTTAATACCACAATGCCATCCACTTTGCCCTAGCGGAAATAATAGCGGATATTGCAATGCATCATAACAGCCATAATAGTAATTCACCATTCGTGCTCGATCAGTGCGAGAGTAAATTTGAATATGTGGTGCATTAAAGGTTGCGCTATCATTTTCCTCAGTCCATATTGCTGCAATTTCAGATGAAGTCGGCAAATTATATACTCTCTGGTCCAAATTTAAGTCGCATATGAGGGCTATGTGGAAATCTTGAAGGTTCGGTATATGTACCAAGGATCGTAAAAACACAGAGTATGGATTTATTGATAATATATCCATCAATTCTTTCACTACTGATTCGTGGATTCTGGCGGAACATGCCATCCTGTGTGCCAGATCATTGCAGTTATCATAAATGTACAACTGTATATTTCTTGGTTTGTCATCTGTAGTGTGCAAATTATTTATCCAATGGTACATCTTCCCTTGAACTCTGAAGGTGTAGATACCAGAACTTCTTTTTGCTAAATCTTTATCATACTTTACACCAAGTGATGTGAACGCAAAAAGATTATTATACGTTCTAATGTATGTTCGGAAGTGTTTGGACTCCACACTGTTTCCAAGAAATAAATTACGCAGTTTGGTAGGCATTTGATGAGAAGTTAACTTTATTGTCCCACTGCCACAACAAAATGTAGGCGGTTCATACTGAAATCTCTTTGCTGAGCAAAATTTGCAGATTGGAACTTTCTTCAGCAGAGCATAGTTTGAACGCAGCTGACCGATAATTGGACAAGACTTTGTAGTGGGTGTACGACCTATATATTGGAAATAGACTGTTAAAATTAAGGTGAACCAGAGGAAACAATTAGTGTTTCAGCAGACAGAAAACCAAACGAACCTTTAGGCATAACTACTTCGGAGTCTTTGTTACGTAGTTCCCGGGGTACTACTGACGTTGAACCTAAGACCAAGTTAGGTGGTCCTTAGATGGCACAAAATGATGGAAAGTAGTGTAAAAGTAAGCGTAGAAGCCGGCATACTCACCTTTTTCATAGGTAGAAAGTGGACGCAATACATCTATTTCGTTACCCATAGCAGAAGGCAGAGGATGATTCTTAGACGTATTAAAAGCTACATCAAAGAGAAAGCATAGAGGAAGTTAACTATTTAAAATGAGAGATAACGCTGTGAGACAAGGTGAAAGCGATTATGCATGGAGAATCGTATGTTCTAACCTAGATGCAGAATGTAAGAAGTGTTCGTAGAGCATTCAGGTGGATCCATTATTCCAGTCAAGCGATCCACAGTTATTTTCTCAGGAGGTGTGCGTGTCTTTGACTCTTGTTATTTAAGTCGACGCTGTAGCAGCAACTTCTGCTTTTTCTCTGCTGACATGGCTTTGTATTTTTCACGTCGGTTGACATTCCTATCCGTTTCTAACAGCGGGCGTTTGTTTTTTTGTGTATGATCCATCAGAACCGAAGTACCTACTCTTAAATGATACTGCGCAAACTGTCATAGCCTTTTAACATTGTATTAATTTTTATCACCGACATGGATATCACACGGCAGGAAGTGACAAAATTGAGGCGATCTTTGACCAGATATAGTTACCCCAAGGAATAAAATATGGGAGGCGATTCATAATGTCATGGTATGTTTTCAAAAAAAAAGTACGCTTTGACTATTAGTTTTTGCATAAGTGACATTGGAATCAGCTGAATACCTCTGAGTTTTCTGATCAATTTTTGTACCTATAGGGAGAACAATTACGATAATTTTTTAGGTTTTTTTCTTCGTATTATAACATCCTCTCAAAGGTACTTTTCCAAAGGTAAAGCTTCGCTAACTAAGCGGCAAAATCTAACCAAAACCTTACCCGAAGTGAAATAAAAGAAAATGGACACCGTGAGACGACACCATAAATGAAAAGGCGAATATGTCAAGCCAAACTTTTTGTTACGCATATAAATCAGCTAACAAACAAAAAATAAACAAAATAATTGTACAAAAGAAAATGGTGGACAACAACAACTACGAAAATAAGATACTTGGTTACCTTACAGTGCTGAACTTTTTCTGCAAGTGTGTTAGTTGTACTGAACGTAAGAGAAACGTCAACAATTCTACAAAAATAAAAAACAATTTCAGTCATGGTCAACATACAGAACATGTTGGGCATCAAGAATACTCTTAGAAATAATTCTGTACGGAAATTGTAGCGTCACTGTCTCAAATGTAATGGTACACTTTAATTAGGAAAAATATCCTGAAAACAAATATTATTTGCAGTATTTCTCACAAGTTGAATCGAGGTATCTATTCCCAAACATGCATAGGCAAATCAGAAAAAATATTGACATGCATGTAGAAGATTCAACAAGAAACAATCCAAAAGAACAGGAAATCTAATATACCCAAGGAATGGTGATTGCCAAAGAAAGTGATGAAACAAAAGAAAGGTTGCAGAAGAAATTAAACTCACCGAAACAAATATTCCATTATTTTATGATGTGGACTGATTGACCGATCAAAGTAACATGTAATTCACCAATTTTCATTGAAGAACCTTTCAGGATTTAAAAAAGAGAATTTCTTACAGACTTTGGCAACAGTGTATTATCGAAGCAAACATTAAAAAATAATTATGGTTCAATTCATCTCCGTAGGGTGGAAGCAATTTGTTTCCCCTTTCTCTCCTTTATTTGTTTGTGTTCTAATAGATAATAAGCACTAAATATATCATTCTGGCACATTAACGAACACATAAAATAGGCTGACTTGTCTGACAAAATAAAGAATTTTTCCTAAATTTATTATCTCAGTTGATGTTATATTCATTCTCTCAAATACAATGCTTTCTTCTTACGCTTGGAGAACTCATGATGCACTAATTTACTTTAAATTCTTTCCCGCTCTACGTTAGAAAGGCTATCAGTACTTCGTATGACTCTTCTAAGATACAATGATGCAAAAAAACCAAATGTAATTACATACCCCCACCCAGTATCCTCGTAATATAGATCACAAAGGCTAAATTTCCGTTGTTTATTCAGTAGATCAAAATTTAACAGGTCGACAGCAGACTTTCTCCAGGAACATGCCTGGAATCTTGGAGCCATTCAGTTGGAGATAAGTTATTTTTCATTTTCTTCTAACACATCATATAATACAACACCCAGGTAAAAGTACCACGGTAAAATAATATGATTTTTCCAGCAAGATTTTGGTACTGTACCTTGGTAACTGATAAGGAAAAATAACTGAATTAAATCATTGTTCCAAGCAAAAATCATTCACCAAATGTTCTGAAGGAAAAATTACAAAATTTTAACAACTCATTTATCTGCATCCATCCGTAAATTTTATGCCATGTTTGGTGCCAACCACTTATCTCTACGTTTCTAATACTTATTCAAGTAAATTTAACATGAAAAGAAAGATGCAAGTTACAAAGTCTTGTTACATATTTCCATATCACTTCATATATTATAGCCTAATTATGCTAACACAACAACAACGCCTTGGAAATTTGCACAGGCATGAATAGACTTACAAAGCATACCCAACATCCATCTTTATGTCCCTTCCACAGCCCAACAAAAAGGCTGGTCACTCATCGTAGACTGCAATTTAACCCAAGTGAAAACAAGGAGGGTGGGGATACAAGCTACCAGTCACATGGTAAATAAGAATTTACTAAAATATTCTTTTAAACATTATTCCCAGATTTCCCAACAATTATTTATGGTCTAATTGGTGGGCCTTTTGTTTTAATCTTAAAGGGTATACATAATAGTGACAACAACTTGAATAGGTATCTTAGTATGAATATTGTTATCTTTTTCAAGTACAAGGATACAGAGAGAGAGAGGGGGGCAAATAATGCGAGAAGCACCAGAACGACCAGTTGTGTGCCTAGCTTTAAGTGAATACAAATCTCCACAAGTTTATTGATTAAAGAAGAAATTACAGCTCCTTTCTTTGAACATGGTCATAGGGGAAAAAGGCTATAACAGATGAAGGTCGCAACTAATAACTCTTGAGTAACATACTGCAGTACACAGAAATCTAAAGGAGGAGACAGAGAAGGAAACAAGAAGTACTCACTTGTTTCACCTAGCAAGCAGAGACACCAAAAGGAACAGAGTAGGAAGCCATGAACCAAAAAAGAGGAAAAGAAAACCCAAACAGAACAGAAGGTATTGCAGATTTTATTGGCAGTCACCCCTAATCGGATATCCATCCAAAAGCAGGCGTTACTCATCTGGAAGAACAGCTGACAGCAGCAGAAGCAAGAACCGATTCGTCTTCCACGTCGATAGAGGATGAGAAAGCGCGTATTGAAGAGAGTGCGAAGGGAAAAGGCGCTGCAGAAAGTACAAAGTGAGTAGAGTGACAAAAATACCCCTGCTTCTGGATCAAAAATAGGGAGCTAATTGTAAATCAGGAAGCAGGACGACGAACAGCCCCAAGTCCCGCTTCTAAATAGTAGTAATTACTAGATAGTTAGTGCCCGTGCATATGCCGGACAAAAGAGCATTAACTCAATAGTACACAACAGACCTATAGGTGGATCCAAGATTTAAATCTTATAGGTTCAATTTTTAAAGTTTTTAGTATTGAAGCCATTATATATGGGTTCATATTTACTATTTTTGTAATTTTAATGAATTTTTACAAGTAAAATTTTACTCCGCGTCAAAAGTTATGGGTTCAGTTGAACCCGGTGATACTACACGACATCCTCACTGTTAATAGATGCAACAATAGTTGCACAAGAGAAGCATTCCTGACCTAGATGTGCAGAGTAACTACAACAAAAAGAGGAAGCAAAGAAATAGCAAGACAAAAATATACTCAATGAAGACATGGAGGATCAGTTAACTACAATATTGCATCAGAAAAGTAGGTACTCCATCAATACCATTAACCAGCAGGATAATTCAAAGAGAATAGATAAGAAAATAGCAACATTATACCACAACCTACTTAAGAATAGAAATCATGCGATTGTATGTAATTCTTTTACACCATTTACGTACTAAAGAAGAATTCTTCAACAACCTTCGTTAAAGTTATGAACTATACAGAATACCACCAGCTCCACCCTAGAAGAAAAACTACCTCTATATTTGGTATTGCATTCAATGCTTCATACCACAGAAAAGTTGTCGTCAGTAAGAACAATGAGATCTGGAACTTTGTGAAGTGCAGTAATTGTGTGTGTTGTGAAAGATGGAGTCCCAACTTCTTCATGCTATAAGCATTCCTCGACCTGAATTTCATCAAGAGAGCGTAATCAATAACTGGTGAGGAACTATGTAGTATATGCAACATGTAAAGCAGACTTATAAATAAACAACACCTTCAGCATCTAATCCTCACAACAATTCTTTACACTTCAAAGCTTAACAAACAACATCTTCAGCATCTACTCCTCATAACATTTTCTTACAAGTCAATATGAGGCTTTCTTAAAGTAGGATATTGATTCTTCACAGTCTATCACGTAATATTTCAGGGAATTTTCACCCATCTCCACATATACATCCAAAACATACTTCACTAAAGCCTAATCTATTAGCTTTTCTCCTATTCTCTATCTATATATAATAATAGTATATGAATTATCTCATGTCCAAAAATAATAATTGCAGATGAAAAAGAGAAAAATAGAAATTTACTACTATATTTTACTGTACTTCAATACATATAACTGCTTATAAATCTTGTCGTGATAAAGTGAAACCAATAACTGACTAACTAACATCAAGAAGCCGAAGAAATATGTAAATGAATGCAGCAAGTTACGGTTATTCAAGAGAATTTTGGAAATAAAAGAGTTACAAATTAATCAGCAATAACATTCTCTTTGTTTCTTAAGGAATAAGGAGAAATTTAAACAATAGTGTAATCAATGATAAGCAGTACTCAATATGGTAGTGCCATTATTACATTCTACATGGCAAAGATTGCTTTAGGAGTTTCCATGTTCTCGGATCAAGTGTGCAAGGAATGTCACTAGGATGGGCAGATTGCTTTAAATGTAATGCAGTTAGTGAGGTAGTGCAAAAATAAGTGATTACCTATATAGATTGGACTACCTTTATTTGCTAAGGGGAAAATGCATAAGTATCCCTGACCCATACCCAAATTTCCAACTACACACTTTTTCTTTGCGGTAATTCTATTACCCCTAAACTTATTTTAAATTGAATTATTTGCACCTTTAACGCTGACGTGGCAGAATGTATGTATTTCAATGATTTTCAAATTATTTTTTATTCTTTTTTACTTTTTCTTCCCTTTCCCTTTTCCTTTTCCTTTTTCTTTGTCTTTTTTCTTTTACTTTTTTTTTTGTTTCTTCTCTAATTCCGGCGGATATTCATTCACCGGCGACTTTGTCTAACCGTTTTTCTTCCATTTTTTCTTTTCACACACAAATTAAACTCTCAAAAAGATCTATTCATAAGCAAAGCAAAATACACTCAGATTTGGGGGAAAAAAATTCATCATCGGAAAACCTTCTCACGCCGGAAAAAACATGAAGTATTGAAATTTTAACTGGAAAAAGTTTTCTCAGCTTATATTCGTTTTTATTTCTTTTGCTCTTCCTCCCACACATAAATTATACTTTCAAGAAAAATTTATATATATAAAAAACAAAACACACTTAGATCGGGATAAAAATCTGTTACCGGGAAAAAAATCGTTGGAAAAAATGATGTTTGTGAAATTCCGACGACCACCATTTTATGCCGCCGATGACCAAAACAAAAAGAAAAAGAATGAAATAACCAAAAAAAATGAGAATAATAAGAAATAAAGAAAAAAAGGATAAGAAAAAGAAGAAAGAATAAAAAAATACTAGAAATACATGTGGAGGCGCGTGTAGCTCACCACTTGCCAAGAGTTTTGTTGTCAGCGTTAAGGGTGTAAATAATTACATTTAAAATAAGTTTAGAGGGCTAATAAAATTCCCGCAAAGAAAAAATATGTAGTTAGGAATCCGGGTATAGGACAGGGGGTACTTATGCATTTTCCCTTTGCTAAGGCAGTGTAAACATAAGTGATTACCTATATGGATTAGAGCTTCTTTCAGTCAATTTCTTTGCAACTCCCTCACTACCAGCTAAATCCAACAGCGAAAGCTCTTCGTGCACTCAACATTTGATCAAGTTCTTAGCTTTACCATAACGCAAAACTTGCTGAACATGTGAAAAAATTAGCGGAAAAGGTTGTCAGTTAGTGTAATAAATAGGTCAAAAAGTGGAATAATGAGGCAATTAAAACTCTTAAGTATTACAACATGCTCAGAATGTTGCCTCAATAACTCACAATTTAGAAATTAACTTTTATAATTGCTCCCATAAAGTAGTTATATGACATATAAAGTGAACATCCAGATATTTGCAACTTGACAGGACTGATCGATCTTATCCAAGTTCCATTTTAGTGATCTTTACTCCGATTGAAGTACTAGGAAGTCTTTGACTCCGTGACCAAAAAAGACAGGTAGCGCATAACAGACAGTTGATACACATCAGTAATATGACTAAATCAGATTTTTCGTTTGTGCAAAAACTTTCACTTGCTACAAAGATATGACCTATATATTACTGGTTCTTTAGATCCAGATAATGCAAAGTGAAAGGCAAATAGATGCAAAATTAAGCTACAACGAAATGAGTCTACATCTCCTTTATGCAAAAGTAAATCACATTTGACCTTGAGGTCACAACCATCAATTAGTTACATTGAAATTCTCCATATTGACATCCTTAAAAGCTAGTCCATCACCTTGACCTTCAGAATGTGTATATACAGGTTTTTGTCATAATTGGATAGGAAGGATATAAAACTTGATTGACACGACTTTTATCTCGTGTACATGTCGTAGTTCTTAAATTCAGAACTTATGTGCCTGCCTATATCAATTAGAAAAAACCAGTTATGACCAAGAGATCAATATGAACCAAAATCCGGAAAGTATCAATTCAATTGAAATGGTTAATTTAGCTTGCTAAATTTAACCATTCCCAAGTTAAGCATTATTCATATCATCCTCGTACAAATTACTGTTGTCTAAAGTCAAACCTGTCATGATGGCATCTATCGATGATACTAGGCTAGTCGACTCTCACAATACTTCAATAAATCATTTAAAGATATACTAAAAACCTTTTCATAATAAGAGTTTTCATAAAAGAAAACAAGAGTTGAACTCAATATAGAAATACCGAATGGAATCCACAAACATCGGGGTGTCACTAATTCATGAACATCTAATAAAACTGGTCCTACAATAACAAGATTTAACATAGTCTAAAATCCAAAATATAACTAAAGAGAGATAGGGAATAAGAAAAGCAAGGCTGCGAACGCCGGGCATCTACCTCGCTATCTCCAGACTGCTGCGAAGACTATCAACAACCTCCCCGATCAAATAATCCTAGATCTGCACACGAGGTGCAGGGAGTAACGTGAGTACACCAACTCAGTAAGTAACAAAAATAAATAGGGAACTGAGAAGTAGTGACGAGCTATGCAAATACAGTTCATTTCATAAATTCAGTAAAGTATAGGCATGCTTTCAGTCCAGAGTTTAAGTCAAATCAGCTGATTTAAGTCAAATTCAAGTAAGGTCAGATAAATTATCTTTTAACAGTTCTCAAAGCAAGAATATAAGGCAACTATGTGCATCAATGATGAAATCATATCCTGCCTCTCGAGCAAATCATCACTCAGTCCTCCAAATAACTCTAACCTCACAGCCACTCATTCCTCACAATCGCTCAGCACTCGGCACACGACACTCTCACTCAGTAAGTACCTGCGCTCACTGTGGGTGTACAGACTCCGGAGGAACTCCTGCAGCCCAAGTGCTATATAAATACCAATCATGGCAGAATCAATAAAACATGCTGCGGCGTGCAACCCAATCCCATAAATGACTTCACAATCAGGCCCTCGGCCTCACTCAGTCATCAATCTCTCCAGTCTCTCGGGCTCTCAGAAATCAAGATAATCAGCCTAAACAGCAATGACATGAAGCATCAAATAGAATAAAAGAGACTGAGATATGATATAAAAATGGATGAACATGACTAAGTACGGGATATCAATGAAACAGTGAGATGACAACAAGAAACGGCCACTAAGGATCCCAACTAGAGGTGTCTAACAAGCCGAGTTGACCCGGAACCAGACCGGCCCAGACTGGCTAAAACCGGAACCGGACCGGCCCGGTACATAAGGGGCCGGGTGATGTGGGTAGGAGGGGTAGAGGGGGCTGGTACGTTTTTTTTGTAACGATTAACCGGACCGGTCAAACCCAGTCAACGTGAACAGTGCCATGTACCGG